TGAAAAAGATTGCGCGATCTTCTTGGCATCATTTAGCGATAGAAACGATTTTACAAGCTGCGACAATATTGATCGAGAATTATTTCGGGTGCTCGAGGTTTTGTAGAGGCGAAACAGATGTATCGCAGGCTCGAAAGGCGAGGGGACTATTTGGGTCCGTGCCTTTCGATGGGATCGAGGTGTACAGACCACCAGCGGCAGCCTGGTCTTTCGAGAGGCACAGCCAGCTTTCTCGCTCGCTGCAGAAAATATCACTTTCAAAGTTTCTACTTGCAATAGTAAATAGCCGGCGCAAATAATTCATTTGTTTCATAATTTAAGGCCGTTCGACGGGAAGATATACGAGAGAAATGTAGAGAAATCAATCGGATAAGGCATGGAAGCGAAATACTTTTCGAATTATTAATCCCTCAATTTCAGTTTGCGCTCAAAGCATGCACAATGATGATAATAATGCGGGAACAGTGACGCAACGTCCTTCTTATCAAGAGCCTCCTACAAATTTCTTTTATTTTCACCCCGTTAACGAATAAGTGCATCGATGGAGACCCAAGGATGCGGAAGGCCGAAAACGCCTAGCGTATCGCATCATCGCATCGCCTGTCGCTATCCTTTTCCCTTTCCTTTCGTTTTCCCCGGCTGCTTATAGTTTACTTTCTAATTGCAGGTAATAGTACGTGCTGCAGTGTTTTGCCTCGTACTCTCATTCAGGTATCCAGCAAAGCGCTTGACCCATTGTGCTCAATATTGCTGACTGGACACGAATCTGCTAGGCGTTTTCCATTTATTTGCTCGCACAGCCGCGCCGTAGATGGGCAAAATTAATCAGCTGTTCGCAGAAATCGCGAGGAAAAATCGGGCGACCGAACTGGAAAACCATTGCCGAGCGGCGGAGAGGCCTTTCAAAACGTTTCGGCATTTAAGCGGAGAGAAAATTTCCAGTGGCGCGCATTTTCGCAGTCGGTTAAAATTCGACGAGTTCACCGAAATCTCTGGCGCGCCTTTTAATTCTCTTACGTGGGCGTTTTAAGTATTGTGAACGGACGCGCAGAAGTGTATCGCGCTAGTTGACGTATTTACTTAAATATAGATACCTTGCACGCCCGTTCATCTCAACCGCTAAGACACTTTCGCGCGAGCCTACTCGTCCGTGCTGCTTATTAGTCTAAATTCAGCGTCGTAAACTCGAAATAATTCTCGTGACAGACCCGAGGCGACTGGCTGGGCAACCAACGCGCGAACGCTTTCCCGCACCCAAGTTTTTCTTTCGGCAGGAAAGATATTTCGCACCGAAACGAATTGCTGCGCCTCTCTTCGCCCGAAAATCGCCCGGAGCCTTTCTCCACACCGAAGAAAATGTCGCTGCTCCGAAATCGCTGATGAGGAAACGGACGCGCGCCGCGGCCCGTGAGAAAGCGAGATAACGCGTGGCGTATTTGACTATTCGCGGCGATTGTTGCAAACTCTCTTATCCCTCTATACATACTCCCTTTTTTTTCCTGTTACTTATCTTGCCGAACAATCGAGGAGCTGTTGCCAACCGAGTGTGCCTATCCGCGCCCGCACCTGCAGTGTTCCTCCCGGCCGTTTTCGCGAAGTGGCACAGCGAGAACCGTCCCCGGCCACTTTATATATTGCAAATAACAGTATCTAGACGGTTAACATCATATCTTTAACAACACCTCTTTCTCTCTCTCCTCTCTATCTCTGTCACTCCTTCCCTCTTTCTCCCTCTTTCACCTCTCTCTCTCCTTCTCCCACTTCTTCAAAATCGCTTCTCTCTCTCTCTCTCTCTCTCTCTCTCTCTCTCTCTCTCTCTCTCTCTCTCTTCCTCTCCCTCTATCTCTCTCTCTCTCTTTCGCCGTCAGCAACTACGCCATCGTTCCGGCTCCGAGTGAGCCCTCCTGGTCTAAATCCCTCGGGATTTAAAGCGGCCAGGTCGCGAGGTCGGGAATGCGAGGGGAACTCACCGGTTCGCCGACGAGCGTCACATCTCCGCACCGCTGAGGACGTTGCTGGCCAGTAGCGCCTTCTTCCCCCTCGTCGTCGTCGCGATGATTGTCGTCGTGCTGGCGGCTCTTTACTTCGCCTCTCGCCTCGGCGCACTCCGGAGTAAAGCCAACCCGGGCCGAATTGGGATCTCCCTCGTCCGGAGTGATATCACTGCGCCGCGGCGGACAAAGCCATCTTGAAGAGGGCACGCGCGCACAAACGGAGGCACAACCTGCCTCCGATCGCGACGGTCAGGTCCTCTTGCCAGGACGGGAGGCGGCTGAATGAGAACGCGGTACGATGAAAGAGTGCTTTGCGATGGCGCCACAAGACGGCCATTGCCTCCGCCATTGTAGCCGCTTCCGCCGCCATCGCTCCGCCGTTGCTGCCGTCGCTGCCGTTGCTGCCGTTGCAGCTGCCGCAACGTCGGCCGCGACGGTTGCAGATGGCTGAACGGGTGTAACGAGGTCCGATCAACCTTATTTGGATCCTCCCCGCAGCACTGTGACTGTGACGCCGGCAAAATGCGCTTAGAAGAATTTGAAGAGTACTTTTGAAACGACGACGGCGGGGATTGGGCGGTAAAGTGACCTTGGAGAAGCTTCCACCTGCAATCGGCAAGCAGCGCTACTTCAGAGGCGGCAATTTTGAAGTTGCAGATGGCTTGGTAACATAATAGAGGGATTCGTGAAGAGTCTCGTGGAGCTATTCCTTTCTGCGGATTCTTGTTATTCACGTCTTGAAACACGTGGCACTTATTCGAAAAGAAATCTTTAATCAGTCCAAGTAACATTCTCACAGAAAAATGGAAGAAACCGAAGGAGGATTCACATTTCACACGGCAGAATTGAGGAACAATCGTTATGATAGAAATTAGAAGTCTGGCGGTAGCAACGAAACAAAATGGAGCGAAATGCGCGACAGGATGAAACAAAGTAGACCCGAAGAAAATAAGGTACGAATTCAAACGAAACGTGAAACTCTCCGACTCGCATACAATTACGCAGCTCGTCGGACATCGAAATGCGATTTTCTTAAATAGATTTTATTCGAGGGCACTAAACAATTATTATCTACGCTCTACAACAGGTATATCCTCCTTGCCTTCGCGGAGACGCTGCGTCGTCTTCGCCTTTCCCTCGACAAAAGAGGCGTCGCAAGAGAAAAGAAAATCGCACGATATCTCTTACAAATACGATAACTAAAATTGTTCTTTCTCTCCCCAATCCCACGTTTCTCTCTCGCTGCTCACATCGCACTCTCTCACTCGTTCGCTCCTCGAAACGGATAAATTCTTATTGGCACATTGTATAGTAGACTCTTAAGTATATAAATAAGTCGTAAGTCGATGCCTCGTTTAGATTATTAAATATATATGTGTATATATATATATATATTGTATATGTGTATATGAATATTTAATATCTTTATGTTGTATATACGACTAGAACTCCTCAACACACGTATCACATACTAATATTGACTATCGTGTTTCAGGACGAGACTCGGGACGCTCTTCGCGTCCCGAATCTTGGCGACGTTTTCGTCCTTCCGTTCGATTCGAAAATCGAGAAGACGCAAATCTTTCCAACCTCCATACACGTTTCCCGCGGTTCCTTTATCGTCGCGAGTCTCAGATGACGGACCTCCATTGCACGGCGTTTTTAAAGCAACCACGCGATCGAAAAAGGATTCTCCATTGGAAGAAAATCTTTTCCACGGAGGAATTACATTTAATAAGGAAATGTTGAGCGATCGAAACCTGCTATCTCGAGAAACGACTGTTGGATGGACGAAAACGGCGCCGTCGTCTTATTGCTGCATTATTGACTGTAAGATCGTATTGATCGCTTAATCGCTAGTACTTTCTCGTAATACTTTCGCAATGCTCCCATCCAGACTTGGGTCTGGATTTCGAGACGAGCTTAATTAATCCGCTGGAGGGAATTGGTGCTACTCGAAATCACCGTACATTTTATATTGTTTTTTTTTTCTGTAGGAAAGTTGCTTTCCTACTCTCTGAAAGTCAATCAGTGGATTATCACTGAAAACTATGAGTATTCGCTGGTTCACAGTGATAATGCACCGATTGACTTTCAGAGAGCAGACGAATAAGTTTTTGCTTCGACGTCTCTTTACGTTAATTTTTGACGATTTAAGTTGAGTGACATTTTGCTTCAATCTCATCGTTTGCACGGAAAAGATAGAATTGTACGGCTCGTTCTTCCGCGTTTTGATTGGATAAATAAGATACTTAATATTTAAAAGGCTAACCGTCCCCTTTCTCTCTCAAGGGTCTAATTAGCAATTAGTACTCTAGTAATTAATACTTTCGTGGCCGAAGGCGGTTCCATTCCCGAAAGTATCGGTCGTCGCGGACTCTTCTCGCCTCTAAAACTTCGAATCGTACTTCTCGCTCGTCTATTCGAGCATTTTCATCGTTTAATTCCACGGCTTGCATTCGCTCTTTCGCGACAAACGAAAAGGGAAGAAGAGATGAAGTCGCGGAAAAAGTAGGACAAAAAATCAGCTGCTTAATTCGATTCTCCGCTGGCGACCGTGCCGTCGGTCGGGGGGCCGGTCACGATCTGTGGCTCGCTCGCGGGCAAACCCTGCATCTCCTGCACCCCCTGGAACAGCTTGCCGGGGAATCCCTGCAGGAGGTCGTAGGTGACCGGCGTGGGCGGCAAGGCGGTGGTGTGCGCGTGCGGCGATTGCAGGACGGCGATCACTCTTCGGAGCTCCTCCAAGGCGTTTCCTAACGGCACACGGCACGTCTCTTATCGGTCAACCAATTGAGATTCGAGTTTTCGAGTCAAGACTCACGGGGCTCGTTACCTTGCATAAGGATGTAGTTTTTCGCCAGCAGAAGGGTGGCGATCTTGGACAGCTTCCTCACCGACGGGCTGTGAGCGTAAGGGATGACGGAGCGCAGCTCGTCCAGGGCGTCGTTCAAATCGTGCATCCTCCTGCGTTCGCGCGCGTTAATGTTCAGCCTCACGCTCTTCCCCTGACGGGTCGTCTTCGATTTCGGGGGGCAGTTCAGTCGCGAGGCCGAGGGTCTGGAAGTAATCGTAGGATTGTCCGAGTCATTAGCCAACTTTTTTCATTAAAATCTTTTGGGCGTTTAGAAGGAACGTTTTATCAAATACCTATGCGTTACGCTAATCGATTATTCAGTTATTTAGTTAGTTATGTCCTTTCAAAGGAATTTATATCCTTCCAGAAAGTCCCGTCCCCTTTCTCTCAAACGTCCTTCTATCTTATCTTCTCTCTCGTTCCAATTATTCCATTCTACCGGCGACTTTCCACAAGCGGCATAGTTTCTCGATTACATTAAAACTGCAGTTTGGATCGCAAAACGTACCTCTCGTCCGGCCGATTTTCGTCGGACAGCGCGCTGGATGAGGCGTGTGGTTGCGGTTGTTGCTGAAAATAAAAGCCACCGAGACCTACGGTACCCAGCGGAGTCCTTCGTCCTGGGGCGCTCTGAGTGTGCTCCGACGAATATGCCGCTGGGGGACCCGAGACACCCGGGTGCGAGGCCCCCGGCGTCGAGTACACGGACTCTAGGGCTGCCGCGGATTGTGGAGGCATTGGATGCTGGAAGAAATATCTTTCCGTTAGAATCGTGAGTGGGGAAATATGACGATATTAATAACATTAGCATACTCGCGTTACATCTCTTGGATACATATGTATATTCGTTATATTTTAAGGAGCAATTTTCGTGACTCTCTTTTAATTCGGTATTTATACTCGAATACTTGTCTTGAAATTTCCGGAATAAAATTTCCACCTTATTCCAACCTGTTACGCTTTGCCCTGCTCCAATTTACTCGGTCCGTTGTTTCTCAGAGAATAACTGGCGATTCCGATTCTCTATTTACTTTGGATTTTCGGCTACTTAATAAATTTCGCAATTATCCACGCGAAACCAACGACGCTTCCTCGTCTCTTACTTACAGCATTGCGATGCTCCCAGGCCCAGGTAGGATGCGACGCGGTACGCTGCCAGGATCCCTGTTGCAGATGCGACTCCGGCAGGCCCTCCCTGCGATCGTCGTCCTCCGTCGAGCTACTCTCGCCGTCGTAGGACCTCATCTCTCTTGTAATGAAGATTTACTTTCCCGATTTACCTAACAAATCCCTTCTTGCCCTCCTTGCCCTCAATCCCTACATTCGTAAATTTCAACTCTGAACTTTCCTCCATCATAAAAGGACCATATTCGAGTTCACTTCATCAATGAAATGTTTGTCTAGAAATTTTTTTCGCGCTTTAAAAAAATGCATACTACAAATGGTTCATTACTTTTTTACCGAGTGCAATTCCCCGTTCCTAAATCTTTTCGCGCTTTCCGCCGGTAGTTGGTTCGGTCACGGTGCAACTCGTTTTTATCAATGCAATTCACTTAATTCCCAAACTTTCCACGTCTCCCAACAATTCTTGAAATTTACTTTACTATTATATCGAGTCTTTAGCTCTTTCATTTCGCTGGAAAAAAAATCTATGTTCGATTTCGTTAACGTGATATAGTTTCGCTTCTCGATGACCTCAAATTTCATTTGCCTGTTTTCGAGAAAGATTTTTATTTTTATTTCCCATTAACGTCTCTCTCTCTCTCTATTAACGAGCCCCGCCGCCATTCGTAAACGGAATAGGAGGCGTCATCGTTCGTTCTAACGCAATCAATAGCAAGCGGGGACACTTACCGACGACGATTTTCTTTCTCCACCCCCGCCCCCGCGCGCGCCCCGCGGGGTGCAGAATCCGGCGATCAGCAAAGTTTCTCGCGCACCAGCGCGCAACGCCGGCTCATCCCTCCGTCCGTACTTCTCCGCGTTTTCTCGACAACAGTACTTGGGAACTTTCAGAAATCCTGCTCGAACCGCCGCTCTGCCTCCTATTGTCCCGCCGTCGAAATCACCCGCTTCGGCCAGACACAGCCATTTTAATTTGCCGGGGCTGCCTCGGTGACCGACGCGGAAAAAAAATCCCGTGGGTCCCTTCGTGGATCACCTTGCGGGGTTTTCGTCCCGCGGGAGGGATGCTCGGGCCGATTCTTGAATTTTCCGCTTCACGACGATTGCGCCCGATAAAGTCGTCCTCGACGAAATTATCGCGCCCGAGCGTCGCACGTCCCAGGCGTCAGGGGCACGCACGCGTCTCTCCCCGTTATTTGGCGGATCCTGCGCAGGAGAGGGCGCACCCCCCAAATTAATTCGGCCGCCGCGTGCCAGGGTGCGCCCCTGACAACCAGGGATGCTGCGCTGGACCATCGACTAGCGTGCCCTGGCGGGTCGGGCCGGAGATCCACCCCCGAGAGCGTCCTGTTACCATCGGGAAAGGGAACCCGTGTTCCA